ACATAATTCTGGCATGAGGTTCATCCATTGAATAAATAATTCAACCAATCAACTATGTTTTTTCTCCGGGAAAACGAATAATTCGTCCCATTTTATAGGTGTTATACAGATGTACACACAAGATTGTAACGGACTCACACAGCTGACTGGAAAGGTGGAAACAGATATGCTTTGTTTACAGTAGAGTAAATCGCTGTTGAGACCTCCAGACATAAGTCCAAGTCCAAGTCCTTTTGGGGGGAAAAAAAAAAGAAAAGCTCGACCACGTTCAGACTGCTGCTAGCTAGACTAGGCTGCTAACAGTCTCCGCCTATATTTGTGGTCTGGGTTATTTGCGTCACTTTCGTGACTGAATACTGGTGTTTGTGCCATTTCTGGCTTAATGCTTCCATCCGAATCAAACCCGCTCGTCCCTGTTGTCACTGGTGCATGTCTTCCTTCTCATTCTTGGTGTTTCCTGTTTGTTCTGACTCCCTTTGATCTGGCTAGGCGTATCTCGAAGGAAAGGCGAGCTCCATACACAACGTCCTTTCGGCCACCATTTATTGTTTTAAAATTTTGAGTATTTTAATTTTGCCAAAAAGTACTGAAAACAGTTTTTGAATGTGAATAGTTCCGAAATGTGAAAATTTTCCGCGTGTGACCATAGTGGTCTTATAGTTGTCTTCCTGTAATATGAACGGCTTAGTCATGTAATGGATATGTGTATGAGAGTTTGTTTGGAGTCTTAAGCGGGTCCAGTCGTTATTTGTTATTATGTGATCGGGTTGTGTTGATAGCTAAGCTCCGGTGTACGTAAATACCATGTAACCGGACCGTCCAGCTCACGCTTTGAGATCCACATGTTCGGCGATGAGAATTGCTGTGGCATGTTGGTCAACGAACTCAAGTGCTCTCTCTGGGAATGGGTTGGGGGGTTAAACTCATAGTGCATCCGAAAGAGTTAGGGAAAGGTGGGGGGAAGGGGAGCGGGAGGCCATTCAGTCAATTCTCGTCGTTGCCGTCTTGCTGGATTCTAGCGTGGCTATAAGTCCAAGTCCAAGTCCTTTTGGGAAAAAAAAGAAAAGCTCACCCACGTTCAGACTGCTGCTAGCTAGCCTAGGCTGCTAGCAGTCTCCGCCTATATTTGTGGTCTAAGTTATTTGCGTCACTTTCGTGACTGAATACTGGTGTTTGTGCCGTTTCTGGCTTAATGCTTCCATCCGAATCAAACCGCTCGTCCTGTTGTCACTGGTGCATGTCTTCCTTCTTCATTCTTGGTGTTTCCTGTTTGTTCTGTCTCCCTTTGATCTGGCTAGGCGTATCTCGAAGGAGAAGTCCAAGTCCAAGTCCTTTTAAGAAAAAAAAAAGAACAGCTCGACCACGTTCAGACTGCTGCTAGCTAGCCTAGGCTGCTAACAGTCTCCGCCTATATTTGTGGTCTGGGTTATTTGCGTCACTTTCGTGACTGAATACTGGTGTTTGTGCCATTTCTGGCTTAATGCTTCCGTCCGTTTCAAACCGCTCGTCCTGTTGTCACTGGTGCATGTCTTCCTTCTTCATTCTTGGTGTTTCCTGTTTGTTCTGTCTCCCTTTGATCTGGCTAGGCGTATCTCGAAGGAGAAGTCCAAGTCCAAGTCCTTTTAAGAAAAAAAAAAGAACAGCTCGACCACGTTCAGACTGCTGCTAGCTAGCCTAGGCTGCTAACAGTCTCCGCCTATATTTGTGGTCTGGGTTATTTGCGTCACTTTCGTGACTGAATACTGGTGTTTGTGCCATTTCTGGCTTAATGCTTCCGTCCGTTTCAAACCGCTCGTCCTGTTGTCACTGGTGCATGTCTTCCTTCTTCATTCTTGGTGTTTCCTGTTTGTTCTGTCTCCCTTTGATCTGGCTAGGCGTATCTCGAAGGCGAGCGAGCTTCCAAACACAACGACCTTTCGGCCACCATTTATTGTTTTAAAATTTTGAGTATTTTAATTTTGCCAAAAAGTACTGAAAACAGTTTTTGAATGTGAATAGTTCCGAAATGTGAAAATTTTCCGCGTGTGACCATAGTGGTCTTATAGTTGTCTTCCTGTAATATAAACGGGTTAGTCATGTATTGGATATGTGTGTGAGAGTTTGAGTGAAGCTTCCTCTAGACATTTTCTCTAAGTCATGCGGATGTGCTGGGGAACGATAGATTGGCTGCTTCCGTACCACACGATGGTAAATTACGAATGATCTAGCAAGATTTAACTAGAGCTTTTGGGTATGATGCATAGTTTCAATTTGCCATTATTTTGCATTATTTGAAAGATAATATCTATTTAGCTTTTTTTTTTTTTTTTTTTTATGGCCAAACAGCGATTCACAATTTTTACACACGATGCACGTTAAATGCAGTCTGACTTTTCTTAATACCTCTAACAATCAACTTTGGCATTCCATGGTATTTCTAAAGTTCATTCAAAATCACATCCTGTCTTCAATAAAGATTTTTTCAAGGATGTTTCTGCCTTGTGATTCTGTGAAAAACTGCGGATGTGAGTCACCAAGCTTTTACCAATGCTTTTCTTTAGGAAGCAACAATTTATTCTTTTGAAATTATGTTTTGCAGGGAGGAAAAGAGGGGGGGCGGGGGGGGGGGTGAGAAAAGTGCACACACGAAACGAAAAATAATCCTAACACTGATGTTCACTAATATAAAATATTATGTGTCTCAAACTGGTTAATATTTTGAGAATTTTAAGGATAACAAAAGATTGGAAAGTAATGAGAGCACGACAGAAGAAGAGGCAGGGATAGACCAACATGAACGTGAGCAAAGGAAATGAAAACACATTTAGCATGGCTATCCACTCGGTAATGAGAGGGACAGATAAATGAGAATACATACTGTCCATTACACTGACAGCCATATTTTTCAAGAAATCTGTTATAAACCGATGATGCCTAGATATCCATATGCACAATCACGGCTGTATGAATCTGTCTTCAGTTTTTATTTCTATTATTTTAAACTGATTTTTGCATGCCTTTTCTACACACGTTCCAATTTATGTAGCTGCCCACAGAAGAAAAAATTTACTAAAATTGCACAACTAAACCATGTACACACACACATGATGTTCTTTTTACTTTCCTTACAGTGATGTGTGCCAGCACACAGGGACATTTTCCGTTGAAAGGTTGCTTAAAAGATGACACCGACTTATTGTCGCTGGTGGAGAATGAGGTCGAAGTGTTTCAGGACTTCTTTGTATCTGAGATGGAAAAGGACTTACAAATGAAATATTTTCTAGTGGAAACAGCTCAAAATGGATGCTAGCCACCGTGGCTGACCAATTCAGTGATCACAACAAGACCATAAACGTCAGCCATTGGAGCTTTCATGAAAAGCATGTATTATGGAGGCTGTACGACCCAAAAACAAACGCTCTGGAAATACCCATCACAGATATCAGATCACGCCTGGAGCTAAAAATACAAATTATTGAACGTTTGTTTGGAGAAATGAGTGGAGTTAGAACAAATGCAGTTCATGTTGGGATCGTCTTTCTAAATGGTAAAAGTCTGACACAAGAAGAAATCAGAAACGTTCCCTCAATCGTTCAACAACTCAGTTCAAAAGTGAAGATCTTTACAGTGATATATGGTAGTAAACTTGTAGAGGAAGTTGTGCACCTGACTGACACTCTTGCGTTACCATACTTGAACTTCTTATCTTCCGTTAAGTATTTACTAATGGCGATGTGTGAAACGTGTGGACCAGAATGGGTCTTATTTAAACACACAACGACGCTCAGTATGCTCTCCTGCTATCAAATATCCACACACATTCAAGAAGGTACGTGGTCTTTAAGAATGTATTCCTGCAACTATACTTTTAGTGGAAATTTGCCGGTAATTGAAACTGCAGAGGAAATGTCATTTTTACAGGAGCAATTATTGAAACAATTCAAAGATGTCAACCTACCTAACATCAGTTTTCCTATTGGCCTCACTAGAGATTTAGGTAACTACGGGAAACGATTTCAGTGGATGAACAGTCTAGGACAGATTCGTCCTCTTTTAATTCCTCATTGGCTGCCTGGTCAACCTTGTAGAGACTGTAAGGATGATGACTGTGTGGTGTGGCAGTTTACAAACACCACGACACGTGACAAAGATAACATAAGTGTTAGTGAAGGATGGATAAATATTAACTGTGATTCAAAAATGAACTCTATAGAACTATGTGAAGTTGTCCTTCCACGAAAAACTGACGATGTTGACTTCGTCTTTAGTGTACCTGTTCCGGCAAAAATCACAGATTTTGCAAAAGAGAAAGAACATTTTCTGATTTTTGAAACTAATATTGTGTCTCTGTCTGCAAATGTTCCAAACCCCAAGTTTCTTCAGTTTTTAAAATATTCAAATATAGACTTTCCCATCTTTGACTGTGGGGAAGATGTCGGTGATCGTAGATATGTTTCCTATAACAAGGTCTGTGATTTTGTTGATCACTGCAGCAACAAGCGGGATGAACTACTGTGTAGGAATTTAGAAACATTATATGATAATGGAATGTTCTGCGCATCGGGACAAAAGCTGCTCACCGAAGAATATAAATGTGATAACGTCAAGCACTGTATAGACGGTAGCGACGAAGAAAACTGCTTTAAAAAGTCTGTAAAAGTGTACGATGTCAAGACGGTTCCTGTCTGCCTCTACAGTGGGTCAATGATGGGCATTTTGACTGTTTCATTTACATTACTAGTTCTTCCGAACGTACGGTGAGTGATGAAGGCTTTCATGAAAACCTATCTCAACTAAATAACAAAAGCTGTGTATTTTCATGTAACCGTGACACGTGTATAGAAGAATCTCAGCTTAACGATTCAGTAAAAGACTGTAGAGGTCCTGAAGGACAATCAGCGAATACTTTTTGGAAGCTAGCGCCAGCAAACACTTGCAGAAATAAGTTTGGACATTTTATCTGGACTCCAAAATGTCATTACATCAAAGACAGATACGGAGGTGTCGTCGGATGCAGAGATATGTCACATCTTAGCGACTGTGAGAACTTCCAGTGTGGTCAGGGATATGTGAAATGTTATAACTCGTACTGTATCCCTCATTATTATCTTCGAGATGGAAGAGCTGACTGTCCTACAGGAGAAGACGAACAACTGCTCTACACTGGTCCATGTACTGGATATTTTGCTTGCTGGGACAGCAACATCTGTCTTCATCCTGACCTAGTTTGTGATGGACACACGGATTGTCCACATAGTGATGATGAACTTGATTGCGATGTATTTTGTCCCGAAGGTTTCCGATGTTTTGCAGGAACAGTGATATTTTCAGCTGACCGCCGATCGGTTTATCAAGATATAATCAATCTGTCTTATATAGATAAACAGACAAGATACCTGGACCTATCGGGGGTAGAAATTCGGAACTTTGGTACTCTTGTGTTGACCATCGCAGATGTATTTCTCAACTTGAAAGTTCTAATTTTGTCCAACTGCACACTCAGTGAGTTATCTGTACTATTTGGTAATAAGGCGTTTGTGATTGAGAAATTAGACATTAGCTACAATAGGTTTAAAATATTTTCTACAAGCACCTACAACTTTCAGTATCAATATCTGCGTTATCTGAATATGTCTTACAATCAGTTGTTGAAATCAGTAACAGACATAGAGTTCAGTTTTCTGAAAGTACTTGATCTTTCTTATACAAGTTTGACCTACCTAATCGACTCAGTATTTGCAAAACTGCCCAGATTACAATACCTCAACTTAAGCCACACATTGATTTCAGACTTTACGAGACAATATTTCAGCCCAACGCTGAAACTGCAGACATTAGATTTACGAGGTATTCCTGCACAAGATATCGACGACTATTTATTTTATAATCTCACAATTAGCCAGGCGTTGTATTCTGATCTTTTCCAGATTTGCTGTCCTCAGATTCATGGATTAATAATTTCACCACGAGCATGCGTGGCTCCTGTAGATACAGACGCCATTTCCTCCTGTGCTAACCTGTTAGGAATTGATATTCAGAGATTTCTTCTCTGGATTGTTGCAATTTTCGCAGTTCTGGGAAACGTGACGGTCATTGTTTATCGTGTGATCTGGGATAGATCAGTTCTCCAGACAGGATACGGTCTGTTTGTGACAAACTTAGGTATATCTGACTTTATTATGGGTGTCTATCTGTTGTTAATTGCTGGGGGTGATTCTTTCTACCGTGACAGCTATGTTCTCTATGACAAAAGCTGGAGGGACAGCGTTGTATGCAAGCTGGCTAGTTTTATGGCCTGTCTGTCGTGTGAAGCCTCAACGTTCTTTATTTTCCTGATCACCCTCGACAGATTTTTGGTGATGAAGTTTCCATTCGGTCAAGTAAAGTTTAAGTGGTCTCAGAAAACTATCGCAGTTGTGATGTCTTGGGTGGCCAGTTTTCTACTTTCACTTGTCCCTATTGTTTTCAAATTTGACATCTATTCTTCGAACGCAATGTGTCTTGGCCTGCCCCTAACAAATACCTACGCTAGAGGTTGGGAGTATTCAGTCGCAGTTTTTATTGTTTTTAACCTAATTATATTTGTCTTCGTTGCGTGTGGTCAATATGCGATCTTCCGAGCCATGTCAAAGAACAGAATATCTAAGACAGCAACTAACAGGCCTTCTTCACGACGAGCTGAAGATATAACTGTAGCCAAACAACTGTCTCTTGTAGTTCTGTCTAATTTTCTCTTCTGGTTTCCTGTGGGAATCATGGGACTGATGTCTCTTGGAGGTCATGAGGTCAGCAGTCAGGTTTATGCATGGACAACAGTTCTGCTTCTGCCCATCAACTCTGCCGCTAATCCTGTTCTGTACACTATTCCTGCCCTACTGGAGAGGTGGCAGCAGTTCAAACGTGGAGGTTAAGGGATACTTTCTACTTCCGTGTAATAGATATTATTATAATTGATTTTCTTCTCTACGTTTGCTCTTGTTTGTCTGCTATGTGGCTAAGTCGATGCGAACGCATGTCGAAATGATGGGATGCCGAGTTCGATGACAGATGCCGGTCATGCGCCTTGCTTTGGTTTCGACAGTTTTATTGAAAAGCCGACCGTCCATTGCAATGTCAAACTACTGTACGTAAAATTTGCCTAGAGAAACCATACAACATCCAGCGGCTGATGAAGTTTGTTCTGCAACGTCCTGTAAAGGATATGCAACTATCTTTACGTTCTTGTTTATTACTAGATCCGGAAATTTCTGATATAATGATTCACTCCGCTAACCCCCTCCACCCTATTAATCCACTTTTTTAAGGAAAATATTGACTTTAAGTGGTATGTTAATATATTGGGATGCAGTGAAAGATAAATGAAGTGATAGCCATTTCAGATGCATCAGTGTCCATCCAGATTATAAATGTCTGATTTTGACGAACCTTGATCCCGACTTGTCGTCTGAGAACTCGGGACAATATGTAAGGTCAAGGTCATCGGTCTGACGATTGGGATATGAGTGATCGCTTCTTGTTTTTAAAATGTAGACTGTAGACATTCTTTTAAGATAAGAACAAACGATACTGAAAAGAAGAACATGAAGAAAAAGAAAATAAGATGATGATGATGATGAAAGAAGGAAAGAAAAAAAGAAGGAAAGAAAAAGAAAGAAAGAAAGAAAGAAAGAAAGAAAGAAAGAAAGAAAGAAAGAAAGAAAGAAAGAAAGAAAGAAAGAAAGAAAAAGAAAGAAAGAAAGAAAGAAAGAAAGAAAGAAAGAAAGAAAGAAAGAAAGAAAGAAAGAAAGAAAGAAAGAAGAAAGAAAGAAAGATAGAAAGATATAAACAAAGAAAGAAAATAGAAAAAAAAGAAAGAAAGAAAAAAAAAGACATACAGAATGTCTAGGCGTGTGGACAAATATTCGTTTGAGAATATTTTGGCCGGGACCATATTGGTAACAGGGCAATTGCATTGTCCCTCTAGTGCAGTGGTAAATATGTCAACACATTATAACAAAAACTTGACTGAAGTAGCGATCAGCTGAATCTTTAAGAGCTCACATGGTGAACCCAGATGCAAGTTCAACAGAAAATAATACAAATTTCACATTTGTAGGATCTCTACTTTCTTTCCCATTCTCTCTCTCTCTCTCTCTCTCTCTCTCTCTCTCTCTCTCTCTCTCTCTCTCTCTCTCTCTCTCTCTCTCTCTCTCTCTTTCTATCTGAGAATTAAAAAAAAAGAAGGAAAAAAACATCACGCTGCCCGCCTTTACTTCCTATGAGGTTTCCTTGTACTCATTGTACGCGGGTTCAACTTAGGAGCCAAGATAATATTTGAACAGAAAAACATCCGACATGATGAGGATTCGAACCAAGGACATTGATACCGGCAGGCAGAGATACGACGGCTCGGTACATTTACGTTTTGTGTTCAGTGTACAAATTAATGACATGACTATAAATGCACAACATGGTGGCAAGGTTGTTGCTATCAAAATATGTTTTCAAATTTAATAAAACGTTTCTGAATGTGAAAAAAAGCCTGATCGCTGTTAACTATTCATTGATTGATTCTTTTGTTCGTTATTTTATTGTGCCAATGTATGTCATGTGTGGATTCTATCAGTCTCTGTCTTCATTCCACTTTATCATCTGCAGTCACTTCAATGTCATGAATGGATTCCGTTCTAGCACCTTTGGCCTCTCTCATCAACGTTCACCTAGGGATTCTTTTGTTTCCTCAGTCCCTCTTTTTGTCCATCTCAATGCCTGTTCGTCTATTTTCAAAATGTGTCTAATATAGCCCCTTTGTCTCCGTTGTATAACTGTTGAGACTAGTGGTTGCTTGTGGTAAACAAGACGTGTAATTCGACACTCCCACTTGCTGGAGGGTGTGTTAGAGGGAACAGCGGAAGGGACGCATGGTTAAAGAAGACAAAGCTGCAGATCCATTCACAATATTCAGGAATGGATTGTAAGACGTTGTTAAAATGTAACATGGAGACGACTTAGAAAGGGAGTAGGATAATCATTTCAGCTTAAATGTAAATGTGACCGTATAAAATTATAAATGCTCTGTGTCGGTCAAACTGTATGGATTATTTTTTAAATACTGTTTAAAATTTTTTATGTGATTTTAGAAATAAAGTGTATACAATTTTCGTATTAACTCAATGTAATTTTAAACAATTAATTTTTTAAATATTAAATATTTTTCTTTGATATTTGCTTTCAGAAGCTTGCTATTTCGTGTATTTGTAGATGTTTAAGATAAAATTTATCTATTTGATAAATCAGTCAAGTGCAAGTTCTTCCTCAGTGACCCAAAGATGGCTATACGATGTATTTATATTTCTAAGTAATCTTTATCTTATTGTTCTGGTATGTGATACGTCAGATCCAGGTACATATCTGCAGATGTTGGCTGTTTTGTTCGTGTATTTTATCATTGTTTCATCTTTCTTGTACATTTTCCTGAATTCATTAAATTGAGAAACTTAAATAGATAACGACTCTGGTACCTCGGAGTTTTTAATCTGACATAATCAGTGTCACTAATTTTTCATGATTATAATATCCTAAATATTATCCCATAAACAATTTTTCTCCATACACTTGTTTGAGATTATCCGTTTCAATAATGAAAGTTTAGAAGACAGATGCACTATGGTCTGTTTTAAAGAAATACGAAGAAGTGTAAGTAGTATATGATGTGATGGATAAATATCATTTCAAGAATAACTCAGCACCTAACGAAGAATTCATTGAAGCGAAGAGGGAAAACACTTAGCTGCCACATGACTTAATATTGGAAACTGCGTTTTATGCTCTTTATGTTATTGGTGGTGGCTCGCTGGATTGTGTTGGCTCCTGTTTTTTCTTTCTTCTTTGTATCATTGGTGCTGGCTAGGTTTGTGTGTGCGTGTGTGTGTGTGTGTGGTGGCTGTTTTTTTTTTTAATCACCGGTTGGTGCTCGGTTGTTTGGTGGTGTCTCGTGGTCTTTGGTGGGGAGTATTTTCTCCTTTAATGATATTTATGATTGCTCAGGTTGTTTTCTTCTTTGGGTCTACAGATGGAAGTTCGAAGAGAGATAACCTAATAGAGTTAGAAATGTCACCGTAATGTCCCCTGTGACCAGCACCTACAAGCTACAGTAGTAGATACACAGACACAAATAAACAGTGATTATTTTAGGGGTCTCTCTTTGTTGTTAATTTTCCAATTATAAGTCTCCATAAGAGATTTATACAGAAGAGGAGCATTTTCATCTTTGTGTCTGTTACGGTTTTTCATGGTCTTTGGTGCGGAGTATTTCTTCTTTCTTAGGCTAATTGATGTTCTTCTATCTTACTACATCATTATGTGAGAGCTGATTGATCGACACATTGTCTGTTTGTTGGTGTAATCCAGATATCTCCTTGTGAGATGCATTTTTTCATTATATTGAAGCCCTACTCCGGCTCTTGCCGGGGGCCGCAACATAGCCTGGCCATTAATATGGTCTAATGACTGGGACCTCTTCACTGGTGATCCTCACCCACATGGTGGCATATTGTTTCGTCAGGTGTTTATCGCTTGTGTGATGTCTAGTGGGGTACAAATCTACTATTACTACTGTCTGTTTGTTATGGTGTATTATATATTACAATTCTACAGCCTCGGCCCCGGCTCCCCTTGTTTGTTTTTGTGTATTACGTCAAACACAGTGGAACATATTGTCAGATAATGTGCAAGATAAAAAGTTGGGAACGGACGAAGAAGTAAACGTTTCATATGTATGGACAACATCACATGATTGACCAGATAAGTTTCTACAGCCCATCATGGAGACTGCAGAACTCATTAGAGCCGTCTGTAAAAATGGATATAATACTGATTTTATAAATGAACAGCATTCTCACTGTAGGGAATTTGGATTAATAAATAGTTTATGGCACATCTTAGATTGTCATTCAAAAAAAAAAAATATTGTTAGACGAGTTTTTAAATTATTGCATTTGCTACGTATTTTATTTTTACTTACAATATTTTACTCTATATTCACTAACACATTTTTTTAAATTTATAGCTGTTTAATGAATAAACTATTCAAAATCAACTTATCTGCCAATTTCAAATTGTATTTATATGTTGCGTTTCATATTTCTACCTACTCACAATGACTTTGCTGCAGTGTGTCCTACCTTCTTACTTTAGATCCGGCTGCATACTTTTACTTTATTGACGATAACGGTTAAAAAACAACACTTAAGACAAATAAAGGAATTTAAGTATTCGGGAGCAATTGTCACATCTGACGGAAAACTGGACAGAGAAATTAGCTCGAGATGTGCCAAAGCTAATCAGGTATCTAATCTAATCAACTATCTTTCCTGTTGACACACAAGAGTACTAAAGTGAATCTTCCAGAACAATTTTTTGGCCAACTCTATGCTATAAGTGCCAAAAGATGACACTTATATCCTCCAATAAGCTTAAAATTGTGACAAAAGAGATGACATGCCTTAGAAGAGCTGCAGGAGTTTCAATGAAAGACAGAATACGAAACCACGAAATCAGACGAATGCTAGGAAAAAAGCTAGTCTTACAAGTCATCAAAGAACAACAAATGAAGTGGTTTGGACACCTAACAAGAATGCCCTGGTACCTTCGAGCCACACTGAAACGAGAGTAAATGGAAGACCTTGGAAAATATAAAGTAATAGCATTTGGAACAGCCTTACAGAAACGAACATCAGTGTTAATAGTGCTCTTGACAGAGCTCTTTAACGAATGTTACATCTCACCACTACATTTCGATGAGGCACAAGGTGGAAGAGAAGAAGATGAAGAAGAAGAAGAAGGTGATGATGATGATGATAATTGTTTAAGTGCCAGATTGCCTTTTTGGCATTTGTTATTTGGCAATAGAAACCACCGCACCATTAGCAGC